TATTACACAAGACTTTAAAAATAGAAGTAAATAGCCCCATGCACTTAAATCACGCCATTTTATTTTTGAAGAAACAAAAAAGAAAAAAGAAAAACACACTATGATAAATTAATACAGATGCCTCTGCCTTTGGAATATATATATATATATATATATATATATATATATATATATATAATGCATTATACAGATAGATCCTCAAAGCCACATTAAAGATCCATATGAAGTCAATTATCTTACATATCTAACACACTTCTCCAGAATGGACTGATCTAACATCATTAAAATAATAAGCATTTAAAAGCGACCCTCCGCCATGCACTAAAACATGGCGCTCTTGGGTCAGCTTAGTTGAGTTCACCCCTGACGACAACTCTTCTTCTTCTTTGCCGATCACTCATAGCCAAGTAAGATTGTCTTCCATAAACACGGTTTTAACAATGAGTCCGTAAGTGACTGTGGAGGCCAATTCTGGACCCACACATCCTTCCACAGTGGGGGCATTGGTTCCCGGGCGGGAGTTGATCGACTATTGCTTTAGTGACACAGGAAGCTGCCTCATGCTGAGTCAACTAATAGTCCAATAAGCTCAGCACTGTCTAGAACAGGGGTCAGCAAACTTTTTCAGCAGGAGGCTGGTCCACTGTACCTCAGAGCTTGTGGGGGGCCAGACTATATGGGGTGGGAATGAATGAATTCCTATGCCCCACAAATAACTCAGAGAGGCATTTTAAATAAAAGCACACATTCTACTCTTGTAAAAACACCAGGCAGGCCTCACAAATAACCCAGAGATGCATTTTAAATAAAAGGACACATTCTACTCAAGTAAAAACATGCTGATTCCTGGACCGTCCATGGGCCAGATTTAGAAGGTGATTGGGCTGCATCCAGCCCCCGGGCCTTAGTTTGCCTACCCATGGGTCTAGAATGACCAGCAGTGACTCTCCAAGGTTTCAGACAGGGGACATCCCCAATCATAGCTGCAGACGCTACAGATTGAACCTTAGAAATTCTGCATCAGAACATCACCACAAAAGAAGAGCCTGTTGGATCAGGCCAATGGCCCATCTAGTCCAGCATCTTGTTCTTACAGTGGCCAACCAGATGCCTGCGGGAAACCAGCAAGCAGGATTTGAGTACAAGAGCAACTCTCCCCTCCTGTGGTTTCCAGCAACTGGTATTCAGAAGCATTGCTGCTTCCAGCTGTGGAGGCACAGTATTGGGTAGCAGCTACTGACAGCCCTCTTCTCTGTGAATCTGTCTGTTCCTCTTTTGAAGCCACGTAGGCTGGTGGTTGCCCCCAGCTGTAGTCGCCTGCTTCTGGATCCTTTTAATATGAGATGGTGAGGGAAAGGACCTGAGGTCAGTTGTAGAGTAGATGCATTGCAGGCCTCAAGTCCAGGCTCAGTCCTTGGCACCTCCAGGTAAGGCTGGGAAAGATTCCTGTCTGAGACCTTGAAACACTGAGAGCCCATGGCCTCAGTGCAAGGCAGGTTCCTGCTGGTGAAATATCTGCAGTGGGCTGGATCCAAAGAACCACGAGCAGCAGAAAAACAGAAGTGGGTGATGTCCCAACAATGGCTGTGCAGGAGTTCAAACAGCATCACAAGTGATAGTTTCAATAAAAGTCATTATCCAAGAGGTTGTACAAGCATTGGCTCAAGCAAAGGAACATTGTTGGATTTCAGTTCACTTGTCTCCTGTAACACTTTAGCAAGAGGTGTAAAATAGCCATTCAATGACCTGAAGACATGCAGAACAGAAGGCCACTTCTGGACCCAACTCAATACACTTACGTTGCAAACATTTTCAGTATTGAGTATAGTAGGGAATACAAACTCAGTGTTAATCCTGTTGTCCAGGAAATGTTGCCTTCTGACATTTACCCTTTATAAGTGAAAAAATCATCATCACCACCAATATCATCATCCTGGCCATTGACTGCAACAATAAAGATTTGACTTGATACCTGAGAAGAAGCCCCATTGAATTTAATAGGACTTATTTCTGAGTAGGCATGGTTAAAACCAAGCTGTTAAGCTGGGACTGTTAGAGTTGCATCCAATGTGAGCCCTATTCTGAGTAAACCCATGTAAATTAATGTCCATGACTATCTCAGGTCCATTAATTTCAATGGTTCTACTCTGAGTAGAACTTTTATGCAACCTATTAATATTAGACTATTGCAATTTTGCCTTTTTACCAGACAGATAGATGGATAGATAGATAGATGATAGACAGAGATGTAAATGCTTGAAACTCTAGCAGAAAACAAACAAGATTTGTTTGGGAATCAGTATAAATGTCTATGTGTACTATACAGATGTACTTGTTTCCCCACTTGCCACAGAAAGGAAACCGTTTTATGGCGCTTGTCCAACCCTTCACATTATTTCGCTGGCAAACGCTAAAATATCTGTCAACATCATGCAAACAGGCTGGCGGAGAATTTTGAAGAAGGAAAATGAAAGCTGTCATTTATTCTGCGCATGACACCATTTAAGCGCTCTTCAAAACATTAAGTGTTGAATTGCCATTTAGCATTTTTGAATCGTTCATCAACCCGACATAACACGGCGCGTTTGTCCTTATAAATTCAAACTGATCAATCCCGGAATGACCAACTAAAAAGCAATCAGGAATCTCAAGACCCTGTTAATGGGGCAGGGGCTGGAGAGAGAGGGGAAAAAACCCCAGAGCACTGAGAATCCTTGTTTCAGCAAGTGCTCATGTGCTCTGGCCACATCTTTGTCCAGCTGCATGCAATATGGTTGAGTAATTGCTCAATACCTATGTTGTTTGGAGAGCCTACAGGGCTCCAATGGAGGCTGGTCTATTGGAGAGCCAGTGTGGTACAGTAATGAGAGTGTCACACTATGACCTGGGGCGGGGCAGGGGGCGGGAACTGCCTCGGGCAGGTATGTATGACCTTTTAGGAAGCCCTCGTAGTCAATGGCTGCAGAACATAGATGGCTTCCTAACTAGAATTGGAAACCTTGTTCAAACCATGTGCATAACAACAAACCATATTTCCTGTGAAGACTGGATACAAAAGCAAGCAAAGTTTCTGTGAACCGAGAAATGAATGAAAGAACCAGGGAACAAGAAGAGGGGAAAGCATGTGAGCTTGAAGTAGAGTCTACTCAGCCCAATCCTGGTTTGTCTGTGACCTGTAAACTGAGATATTTTGAATTCCTAAACACAGTGCGAATTGAAACACAGCTGTCCCTCAAAAGTCACACATCCGAATTTTGCAAGGCAGCTGTCCAGACAAATAACATGAGTGGAAAAAAATGTGTACACAAGTGTAAAGTGCATATAAATGCAAATGTAGATGAAAATAATATACGTAACTATACTAGGGGAAACAACTCACAAAGCTGTGTCTGTTAGGGAAAAGGGCACCCAAAAATGTTTCTACTAGGAGAAATTTGCGCTAAAATGCTGGTGAATTTTCATGAGGACTTTAAGGGAAAGAAAGGAATCATAAACTGATGCAAAAATGTGAAGAACAGAACTTAAGAGTGGAAAAAATGAAATTGGCATAGTTGGCCATCTCGCATTGTGACGGATGAGGGCAATATATGGGTATTTATTCTCATGCAAGCATTGTGATGTGAGTCAGGAGAGGAGGGTCGTGCAGGTTTGCCCTGAGTGCATCTTCTACCTCAAACCAGCCCCTCCCCAGTTCTAACCACACATTGGGGGCATGTCTGCTGACGGGAGAGTTCCTGTGAACATTGGCTGTCACTATGAGCTGAAACTCAAGGCTGCTCAGGGTGGATGGGCCTTCTTTCCCGCCTCACACAATTATAGCTGTGTGAGCCTGAATGGCCAAATAAGGCTGCAGGGATGTCTGGATCACAATCACCCCTTATCTGATGCAGCATATATATATATATATATATATATATATATATATATATATATATATATATATTTGTTTGGCCACAGGCAAAGTTATGCAAAACACGGCATTCTCATCATGTGGAGGAGCCTGGCAGTGAGCATGGCATCTCCAACTGTGCACAGGCTTTGAAGTTTAAGTAAAACCACAGGCCAGAATTGATATCTTAAAAATTTCCCTTTGAACACATCCCTGCTGATCCTAATGATTTGCTGGGCACTTCGCTGTTTGTTGTGTGACAAGTTGGAGTTTGGACAAGGTCAGCTCCTGAATCTTGATTATGTTTTTTTCCCCCCTTGAGCCAGAAGACATTGATCTGTACATCTAGTTTACCTTGTTTTCTTAGCCATTTGTGACACACTACAACAGTTCCCATCGAAGGAAGTGTCATGTAAATAAATTACGACTTGGGATGTATACATTAAATAATTTTATAAATGAACTTTAAAAATGATGGTCTGGGGGGAGAAATGCCATTCCCAGTCTCTATGGCTGCAGTGATTATTCTGATCATGTTGTCATGTGTAATGAAGCACGGTCCCATCATTAATCAAAAGAACCAATCAGATAACTAATTTAGGCAATATTCTTTACCACAGGACATGTCGGTCAGTAAAAATGCATTAAAATAGCAAAAGATCAATAGCAGACGCTAGGGACTGTATTCAGAAACCAGTCTTAAACTTTAGGGCATTGTGTTTTCTCTGTCATGCTGGGCACCTGCATTTGAATGATGTACAGAACTTCAGATTAATGTCCAAGATTCCTTTTCTTCAAAAAGAAGAAGAAGAAGTGAACAATGGATGAAGATCATGAGGGGGCTGAGCCATTCATAAGGCTTGGGGTGAAGATGTAATCAGGAGCTGTGAGGGTGTAAGGAATGACTGGGTGATCTGGGGGCATATTTCCTGGGCATTACTGGGACAGGGTAGGATGTTATGTGAGGTAGGGGAGGAATGTAAACATCAGGCCACTGGAAAATGCCTTCTGCTGAGTCAGACCATTGGTCCATCTAATTTAGCATTGCCTATCCTGGACTGGCAGCAGCCCTCTGGGGTTTGAGATTGGGGTTTCTTCCAACCCTTTCTGGAGATGCTGTTGGGGGTTGAACTTGGGACCTTTTGCATGCAAAACAGATGCTCTACCACTGAGCTACAGCTCTTCCCCATCCTTGTATTAGATGATCAACCCTACCTGCCAATAGGTGGGCAGCTGCATTCTGTTCTAGTTGAAGTTTCTGAACTGCTTTTAGGTTCGGTCCCAAGTAGGGTGCCTTAGAGCAGTCTAGAACATACTAGGATGCATGCAACAATAAAACTCTTGCTGCCCATAAGCTGCTTATTTCCAATCATCTAAGCATAAACCAGAAATGGTACTTCCTTACAGAAGATGTCTGGCGAACCTGTGACCCTCCAGATGCTGTTGAACTACAATCCCCATCATCCCTGAACGTTGGCCATACTGGGCTGGGGTTGGTGGGGTTTGGAGTCCAGCAACCTTCTATGTTCTAGTTCTGGCTTAGAAAGTTTTTACTACAGTACTTTTTACTGGATGGCTACAGTTTCTAAAGCTATATGTGATCAAATTACTTTCCTCCAGCTAACGAAAAGAGCGTGCTTGAAACCTGAGTAGCGATTCCTTTCTTGTTTCGGCTGGTTGCAGCATTACATTAGGGGAAACGGCTTGCAAAACTGTGTGCATTAGGCAAAAGTGCACCCAATTTCCCCCCCTCCAGCTAAGTATTCTCTCCCCTAACCGCTGCCCAACACACCTCCAGTGCTTGGCAGTGATCTTTTGTAAGAGCGCAGGATGCAGAACAGAGGCAGCTGTCTCTGTGTCAGGATGCTACCAAGTCAAGGCTTGATTAGTGGGCTGCACAGCTGACCATGACAGGGTAAATAGATTTCTGGCTACAGAGCCCCTTCTCAAGCAAAGAAGGCCAGTCCCCTATTGCTTGAGAGTAAACCTTTCTTTTCCTTTTTTAAGGTAGGCAGGAACTTGTGTTTTTAGTGGAAGGTTAACCCTGTAACTCCACTGGCAGACTTGGGTTAGAACTTAGCACACTTTATGCAAACAATGTAAGAGTTGTACAGATGGCGTGGCTAAAATACATCAATATTCAAAAGGAAGAGACATAAAATCATCATTACAAGCAAAGATAAAATCAATAAGATGCTTAAAACCAATGTAACTATATCATGTAATGATAGGCTGTCCTTGTGTTCCATGGACTTTAGTTGTGTGTATAGAACTTCAGGCCCAGAGTGGGGCAAATGTGGCCCTCCAGGCCTCTTTATCTGGCCTTCAGGACACTCCCCAGACCACCCAACTCTTGAGCCACTCCACTTGCCAGCCCTACTTTGCACCCCCCCTTGTGTGTCTTTGCCTGACTGGGATGTGCCTAGAGCTCTGAGAATGCTTCTTGCTTGCCTGAATGGAGAATAGAGAGGGTATGGGAGAGTGTAAAGAAGCTAAGCATTGCATTCTTTGCTCTGCATACTTGGGCCCCTGGAAAGTTGTTTGGCCCTCGGGCTGCAAAAAAGGTGACCCACTCCAGCAGCGGTGCTGGGTAAATGGGGCTCAAGGGGCTTCAGCCCCCTCAATATTTTAAAGCAGGGGGATCAACCACCCCAACACTGAGGGGGCCACATCCCCTGCCACCAGGCACCCTCCATGTGCCACAGCCCCTGGCCATGGGGTGGGGGCAAGTTGGAGCCCCTGCACTCCAGCCTTGAGCAGTTTGTTGAAGGCACAAGAGCCAGGAATGAATGAAAGAATGAAAGCCACCATAGCTATTGCTTTACCCATCAGCAGCCATCCTATAGGAACGACAAATCTCTCCATCAGCAACTATGTTTACTGATTTTCTGCCCCATGAAATCCATCAACTCTGCGGGTTGCATGCCTTGGGCTATTTTTTTGGTGACATGTTGAAAGTTATAGGATAGGGGGAACTTTTGATATGGGTTGTAATTATCCAGTCTGGAATTTAGGCCAGGCTGCATGGTTTACATCTTCTTACTTTTGCGCTGCGAGATGAGTTAAGCCCCAGATAAAATTGACTTGAAATTTATGGCGTGCAGGTATCCCAGGCTGGCGTCTCCAGTAACATAGTTGAGTCAACTCCTAACACAATATTGGGACAATAGTTCAGTATTGATCCCGAGACTGTCACCTCCTGATTTACCAGCAGCACTCCCTGAAATGCTGGGAATCTTTCTGGAGGTCTCTTTCAGTGCGGCTGTATGTCAGCATTAAGCTGCATTGATGTAATCTGTGTACCCTCTAAAAGTCCCCTTTTCAAATGAAAAGCCTTGGGACTGCTCTCTATATTTCTCCCTCCCACCCCCATGAAAGCTGCACATGTATTAAAAAATCATTAGGAGCAATAAAATGAAGGATACAGGTGACGAGTGATGTACAGTGTTATTTGAATTCGCCTGTATGTTCCTAATTAAAAAAAACCCCACTTTTAAAAACAAATAAATATATCCCAGCATTCCATCACCATCTCCAGCTTTCATATGCAAAGCACATGAAAAGTGTGTAACGGCTGAAAGCTATGGCAAATGTACAAAAGGAGGAGGGAAATGACTTAATGTCTTTAAACCAAAATGAAGGCTCTGCACAATGGTAACAAAATAAAATTCTAGGCCAGATCCCCATATGTAATAAATTAGGCATATCCAACAGTGGGGGGTGGGGGGTGAGATTATCTTGTTGCTGTAGAATACAAAAGTAGTTGTTCTAGAAACAGAATCACCGTCTTAGATAAATGAGAAGACAGACCTAGAAAATATAGATGTGGCTACCAACTTCATACAAAACCCAGTTACAATAGGGCCCTACAGTGGAACCTTGGTTCTCAAACGCCTTGGTACTCAAACAAGTTGGAACCCAAACACTGCAAGCCTGAAAGTAAGTGTTCCAGTTTGTGAACTTTTTTCGGAAGCCAAACATGCTTCATTGCGAGTGCCACACTTCTGTTTTGAGTGTTACTCTTCCGATTTGAGTGCCAAACTTCTGTTTTGAGTGTGTTACGCTGAGGTCTGTCTGTTTTTACTATTTACTTTGCATTTTTGTTTCTGTGGCTCTTTTTGTTTGTTTTTGTGACTGTATGGAACCCAGTTCAGCTACTGATTGATTGTGTGACTGCAGTACATTGCTTATTGTTTTCATTTTATGGCTCAGTGGTTTCGTTAGATAGTAAAATTCATATTAAATTTATGTTTTAGGGGTTGTTTTTAAAAGTCTGGAACAGATTAATCCATTTTGCATTACTTTCTATGGGAAAGTGTGCCTTGGTTTTGGAACGGACTTCTGGAATGGATTAAGTTTGAGAACCAAAGTACCACTGTATTTATTTATTATTGCATTGCATTGCATTTACGGTAGATCCAACCTCTTTGCCCAGGGAGCTCAACCTGGCATACATGGGTCTCCTGCTCCTCATTTAATCCCCACAACAACTTCATGAGGTAGGTTGCATTGAAAGCCAGGGCCTGGCTGAAGCTCCCACCATTGTGGCTGAGTATGGGGTTGAACCCTGGTTGCTTCCATGTCATGGTCCAATACTCTAACCACACACTGTCTCTCTCTATATCTCTTTGATTGTGCATTCATGATGATTCATGATTGCAATGGAATTGGGGCAGTTATAGGATGCATTCACATGGCAGTTTATTCCATTTTCATGACGTTTCCCCAGCTATTAATTTCTGCACTGCATCTGAGCTATCCTATGATGTAAAAGCCACTTCCAGAAAACTAATGGAATATAGTGCATGTTTATTACTCACTTCTGTGTTATTTGCTTCTGGGGAAAAAATCTGTTTGCAAATGATACGGAAATGAGGGTTAAACTTGTGCTGTGTTCCACTATGTTTCTGAAAGTGGCTTTTATGTTGCATGAAAGCTCAAATACCATGTGGAAATGAACAGTTGGGGAAATGTCATGAAAACGGAATAAACTGCCGTGTGAATGCTGTCAAGTGCAATCTCACTTTCAAAACTGCTTGCACAAACAGGATTTCAGGATTTCCAATCCATGCGTGCCCTGTAACTTCCTGCTAAAAGCCTGTAACTTTTTCTTCCACAAATGTTTCAGGGTGTGGTTGTGTGTGTGTGAATGTTTGTGTTTGTCTTGCTTTGGTTGCCTTATAGTACCAGAGTGTCCCTATAGATAACAATTATGCAGTAATACTGGGGAAGTTTCACAGAACAACCAATAAAGTATAAATCAACTAGATAAAGGTAAAGGGACCCCTGACCATTAGGTCCAGTCGTGGCCGACTCTGGGGTTGTGACGCTCATCTCGCTTTATTGGCCGAGGGAGCCGGCGTACAGCTTCCGGGTCATGTGGCCAGCATGACTAAGCTGCTTCTGGCAAACCAGAGCAGCGCACGGAAATGCCGTTTACCTTCCCGCCAGAGCGGTACCTATTTATCTACTTGCACTTTGACGTGCTTTCAAACTGCTAGGTTGGCAGGAGCAGGGACCAAGCAATGAGAGCTCACACCGTCACGGGATTTGAACCGCTGACCTTCTGATAGGCAAGTCCTAGGCTCTGTGGTTTAACCCACATGCACTATGATTGTATCAGTGAGTTAGAATCATAGAGTTGGAAGAGACCACAAGGGCCATCGAGTCCAACCCCTGCCAAGCAGGAAACACCATCAGAGCACTCCTGACATATGGTTGTCAAGCCTCTGCCTAAAGACCTCCAAAGAAGGAGACTCCACCACACTCCTTGGCAGCAAATTCCACTGTCGAACAGCTCTTACTGTTGTTGCAGAAGACACCAGCAAACAAAACCCCACCAGTATGGAAGGGCCCTCAGGGTTTAAATTTCATAGAATCATAGAATCATAGAATCATAGAGTTGGAAGAGACCACAAGGGCCATCGAGTCCAACCCCTGCCAAGCAGGAAACACCATCAGAGCACTCCTGACATATGGTTGTCAAGCCTCTGCTTAAAGACCTCCAAATAAGGAGACTCCACCACACTCCTTGGCAGCAAATTCCACTGTCGAACAGCTCTTCCTGTCAGGAAGCTCTTCCTAATGTTTAGGTGGAATCTTCTTTCTTGTAGTTTGGATCCATTGCTCCGTGTCCGCTTCTCTGGAGCAGCAGAAAACAACCTTTCTCCCTCCTCTATGTG